ACAAGTATACAGTACATCACTCATCAAAGAAGCTTCTTTTTGGAACAGATGGAGGTTAGTGCAGAGTTCCACAACTGGTCCCTTACAGAGGTATACATCCAAGAGATGCCCAGTCCTAAGTGATATACAGTAAAACCTTTATACCTAAAGATCTTGGAACATAGCGAATCAAGAGAATTCTGGTGCATCCCTCAACTCTCACCAGCGAAGCATCCTTATACAACAGAGTGTGATGCACACAGAAGGCCACAACTGACTAAGTTTTAGAGACTAAGAGACTGCAGAGTGTGTGTCCTTGAATAGGACTCCTGTATTAAACCTCACCCACCCAAGGCCCAGGTACCATTGTGGAAGACGGTGGTGGAAAGATGGTAAGAGTCAAGGGTGGCCCATGAACATAGGGAAACAGAAGCTTTCAGGCCACTGCCACTGGAAACTTGCTCATGTGAACTTGTGGCAATGGTGGTGTTGAGCACAAGACCCATGTCAACTCAATCAGAGAAGGGCTTGAGGGAAAAGAGTGGTAGGCTGCCCTAGTCTGAGAAATGATAAACACTGATTGCTGCTGCAAGAGGAGAGTAGACCTTCCTTAAGATTTCTAGATAGGCTGAATAGACTCCAGTGGATGAACTTGCATCGAAAGACATCCCAGTAAAATGCTTGACCAGATGGGACTAAACATGTACAGCAGTATACATGAGGCCTGGTGTAGGGGGTTGTATGGGGTCATGGATAGGGGAGGGAGTCTTAATTTGATTAAGCACTGTTGTATGAAAGTTATAAAAGCTCAAAAATATTTTTAAAAGGTAGAAATTGGGACTGAGATATGGCTCAGCTGTTAAGAGCACTGACTGCTCTTGTAGAGGACCTGAGTTTGAATCCCAGCACCCACATGGTAGCTAACAACCATCCATAACTCCAGTTCCAGGGGTATCTGACATGCTTTTCTGACTTCCATGGGCCTTGCACGACATGGGTGCACTTACATGCAGGCAATACACTCATATGCATAAAATAAAAACAATAAATGAGATACTTATTAAAAAATGTAGAAATTATACTTCTAGCTGCCAGGGTATATCAGATGTCTGGATGTGTTCTTCCCTCTGGGATGGCAGACTCCTCAACACCATGCAAAAAGCTCAGTATGAAACTTTGTGTAGAAATGTTTCATCCTGGAAAAATGAATAGTTCATTAATGATATTCTCTTTTGCTGCCTAGCCTCTGATAAGGCTTATTTTGGCAACAAACATAAAAATCAACAGAAATCCTGAATAATCAACAATAAGTTGCTTTCAGCTGATAAACACTGATTGCCCAAACCAGGGAGAACCGATCTACCCTACAGCCATATTCCCTATCTTGAAGGTCTGACAAAATAGAACACAAAACAGAGATACACAGATACTGAGGTAGGTGCTACACTTAAGTAACAACAAAATTTCCAGAATGGACTAGCTTAGTGGGTTCTATTTAATTTATAGTTTTGAAAAAGTGGTGCTGGATTCAGTTGAGATGGACTCCAGCCAACCTTCCTGGTTCCAAAGGGTTTATAATGGAAAGAAAGCCCATAAATGGGTCATGAGCAATCTTGTCCAGTAATCATCCCCAGTTCACTAGCTAGTCAACAAAGTCATGGGTCTTTGTCTCAAGATCAGTGTGCTTTTCTAAATTTAATTCTCAATGTGAAAGTCTAATATTTGGGTTCACTAGTGTTCTGCATTTGTTTGCAAAAGTGGAGTAGGACCAGGCAGCACAGCCCCACCTTGAAGCAGCAGGAAATCATCTTTAATCACCAGACTCGGCATCCTATTCACTGACCATCATTACACACTCACAGCTACCGCTGATCTCGAATAGACACCTCAAACTTGTTCAGAATGGAATGCCAGATGACCATGTTTCCTTACTTCAATCATTAATGGCACAGCCATCTGTTCTAGCTTGATCTTTTGTGGCTGTGATGAAACACTGACCAAAACCAACAGGGAGAAAAGAGTTTATTTGACTTACAAGTTACAGTCCTTAACTGGGGAAAACCAAAGCTGGAACTCGAGACAGGAAGTGAAGCAGAGACCACGCAGGAACGCCGGCTTGCCTCCTCTGACTTGCCCAGCTACCCCTTGTACTACCTGGTCTCACTTGCCCAGGTATGGCACCATTCAGAGCCTGCCGGGCCCTCCTGCATCAACCAAAAAACAAGAAAATGCTGCAAAGACATGGCCACAGACCAATGTGAAGGAGGAAATTCCCCAGTTAAGGTTCCTTCCTCCTAAGTGTCTCCAGTTTGTGTCAACTTGACAAAACCAATTCAGCACACAGTCTTTCCAGCCTTAGGTTAAAATTCTAAGAATACTCTTTGCTTAATCGCTTTATTTCATCTCCTTGGCATAAGCAATAACATAAGAAATAGCAGGTTTTCTTCTCAAACCTTTCCAGGGTTGAACCACTTCCCAGTACTGCTGGAATAGACGCCCTGGGCAGAGCCAACATCATGTCTCACTTTGACTACGTAACCGTGTTTCAGTTGTATTTTCATTCACTCTTGGGGCCTCAAAACCCTTTTTGCACACGGTGTACCAAAATCATTCTCTTAGAGTATAAAAGATTGTGTTTATGATGGCTAGTTTTTGTTAACTTGACACAACTAGAGATACCTGGCAAGAATGAACCTCAACTGAGGAATTTCCTCCATCAGATTGGCCTGTGGACACGTCTGCGGGGTGTCTTCTTGATTGCTGATTGATGTATGAGGGCCCAGCCCACCGTGGGCAGTGCAGTCCCTTGGCAGGTGGACCTGGGCTGTCTAAGAAAGTTAGCCTAGCAAGCCAAGGGAAGCAAGTCAGTAAGCAGCGTTCCTCCTTGGTTCCTGCCTCTGCTCCGGCTTGAGTTCCCTCAAGGATGGACTGTGATTGGAAAATATAAGCCGAATAAACTCTTTCCTCCCCAAGCTGCTTTTGGTCATGGTGTTTATCAAGCAACAGAAAGCAAACCAGGCCAATGTTCATTGCTTACATTTCTGTAATGATTCCCTCTGCATTAAAAATATTGTTTTTTGCTTCTTTGGTTATTTATTGTTGTACACATAACACACGATCCCAAACCTAAGTACCTGAAACAACAAAAATTTATGATTGCTCATGACACTGAGACTGGACTCAGCTGGCCAGCTCTTCTGCTCCATTTGGCTGGGCTTATTCATAAGACTGCGTTTAGGTATATGACTTCACTTGGCTGAAACCCAGCTGGGGCAGGATTGGCTACCATAGCTTTATTTGTGTCTATTGTAGCTGGAATGGCTCCCTAGGCATTCCCTCTCCACATGACCACAGGTCAAGTTCAAGTTGATTTTTGGAAGTTTTTTTTTAACCTGGAAGCTGAATCTCAAAAAACAGAAGAGGAAGCTGTCGTGATCATGCCATAACATACAACACCATGCCTACTACATCCTATTGGGCAAATCAACTCACAAAGCCAGCTGAGGCTAGAGCAGAAGCTCTCTCTTTCTTTTTCTTCTTCCCCCTCTCTTTCTCTCTCTCCCTCTCTCTCCTTCCTGGTTCCAATGAGGTACGAAGCCTTGCTCTACCACACACACCTCACCATGATGTTTTATCTTACCACAGAAATGGAGCCAAGTGACCAGAGACTTGACATCTCTGACCATGAATGACACCAGTATAGCACTGAAGTCACAAGAGGGCAGAACTATAAGACAGAGAAGATTGGGTCTTTGAGTCACTTCCTGGAACAGAGCCATTCAGGAGGGGCAATCAGCCAGGAATATTTACAATAGTCTTTGTGTGATTGGAAAGAAAATTTTATCCAAACTTCCTCTTAATTATGAAAGGGCCACTAATGCTTAGTAGAGGAAGAGATCTCTTGGTAGGAATCTTCAGAAATAATCCTCTGCATTTCCCCACCACTGCAATCTAACCTGAAACAAGTCTGTCCTTTTTCATCCTGCTCTGGCCACACTGGGCATCTTTGCCATTTCTAGAGATGTTGATGTGATAGACCTGTTAACAACCCCCTCAGTATCCTACTCATATAACTTCTGAATCACAGAAGTCCTTACCTCATTGGAACCAGGAAGGAGAGAGAGAGGGAGAGAAAGAAAGAGAGAAGGAAGAAGAAAAAGAAAGAGAGAGCTTCTGTTTTAGCCTTAGCTGACTTTCTGAATTGATTTGACCAATAAGATGTAGTAGGCACGATGTTGAATGTTGTGGCATGATCATGTCAGTTTCCTTTTCTTTTTTTTGAGATTCAGCTTCCAGATAAAAACAAAAACAAAAAAAATCCAAAAAAAACCAACTTGAACTTGACCTCTAAATTCTGGGAGGTCATGTGGCGAGGGGATGCCAAGGCAACCATTCCAGTTGTGATTAGTTTTGTAGCTTCCTGAATAAATTTGCCAGAGTCCCTTGAAGGCAAGTATGACCCTGTGATTACATCCTGACCAATGGAATAAGAGTGTTCACTTAATGAATGTTCAGTTAATAAGTATTCCTTAAAAGAGCAGCTGAGCACTGAGGAACAGAGGCAAGAGAATCATGAATTTGACCCCAACCTGAACTACGTAGCAAGACCTGTCCTCAAAGAACCAAGGACTAGAGATGTATGAATATATGAAAAAGTGCTTGTGTAGCACTAGCCCTAGGTTTGATCACCAGTAACGCACACACACACACACACACACACACACACACACACACACCAGCACCAGCTGTCTCTACACTGGTGATTCTCATACTCTGCTTTTTTGTGCTGGTTAAAGCAGAGGAATGCCTTGCCAGGTTGGGGAAGCCAGAGTCTCTGAGAATTTTTCTCTGTCTTGTGGTGGAGAGGCCAAGAAGGAACTTTCAAACAAGGGAATAGTGACCCCAAGATGTTTCTTCCAGAGAACTAAACTGCTAATTCACTTAAGTCACAGTCACTTTGAGTTTTCCATGTTTTATAGCCAAGCCCAAACCTTACTGAGCATTTCCAGCTGAAGGACTAGCAAGAGCAAAGGGCCTGAGACAGAAGGTTGAGTGTGAGCAGAAAGAGGCCGAAGAACAGCAGCAGAAGCAACAGAGCCACACGACAGTCTTCTAGACTTGCCTTCATCACCTGAATGAAATGGTAAGGTGAGGCAAAGTCTGGGGGAGGAAGTGACAGGGTCTTACTGCTGTGTGAACAGAGGCCAAGGTGGACAAGGAGAGAAGCTGAAGAATAATTAGGAGATTTCCATCTTGGTAAGAAGAAATGGTGTCCCAGATCGGGGAGAAAGCAAGAGAGATGGTAAGACATTATAAGACTGTGAGTTCAGTCTGATGGAAGAGTCAGGCTGACTATGGGGTGTGAGGTGGTGAAGAAGCCAGGAGCGGTATAGAAGCTTTCAGTCTAAGTGACCTAGAGTCACTGCTACCTACAATGGGGAAGGTTGATAAGAAGGGGTTTTTCATTGTGTTTTGCTGCTGTTGGGATGGGGTGACATGTGGTTGTAAAGAAAGAGCAGTAGAGCTGTAGTCTGATAACATCAGACACAAGGCGGGAACATCAGGGAAGAGGAAGAAGGGCATTAACAGTTTGGAAAAAATAACGATTAGAAATGACTGGGCCATGCACCTACCTTCTAACCCAGCAGGAGTTTGAGGAGTAAGCAGAGGCAGTACAAGGACACAGAAAGGGCTGGGTAGGAAGCCACATTCTCAGACGAGAGCCAGCTCTAACAAGGACAAGCAAGTCAGGGGCATTTCAGACAGGAGGTTGGGGATTGATAGGACTCACCTGATCCATCATTTTTCAGAAGGCGAAGGCAGGGGGCACAGCATCACAGGGTGTTTTCAGAGCCATGCAAGGAGAAGCTGAGTGTCTGGAGTCCATGGGGCCCCTAACCTAGGCAGGGATGAAGGAAACTAGTGGTATCTAATGGTGAATCTGTGTGGTGTGGAGGTAAGGGTAGAGAGAGTCTTGCCAGTAGCAGTGTCTTCTGCACTCTGATTTGACTTTTGATGAATATGAAAAGTCTAAGCAGACAAGTTGTATCCCAGCACTTAACTCTCTAGGTCTCAATTTCCTCAAAGAATAATGATTGGGCTGGAGAGATTTCCCTTTATAGCTCTTTTCAGTTATGCCACCCAGAGACTCTGAATCCATCTTCTCAGTGCTCCTCAAACTTTTGCTTGACATCAACTTTAGATTCGCAAAACATTGTTTTTTAGGTTTTTTTTTTTTTTTTTTTTTTTGGTCTTTTTGAGACAGGGTCTCCCTGTAGCCCCAGCTATCCTGGAACTCACTATGTAGATCAGGCTGGCCTTGAACTCACAGAGATCCCCCTGCCTCTGCCTCCCGAGTGCTGGGATTAAAGGTGTACGCCACCATGCCCGGCTAAAACATTCTTTTTTTGCTTGAAACTTCTTAGACTTGGTAAAAAAAAAAATCGGTTTTGATTCTGTTTTGACCTTTCTATCACAAGACAGAGAAAATAAACCTACTCTATGTCAGCACGCTACCATCTTCTAAAGAACAAAAATGTAACTGTTGGTACAAGGGAAAGATCCGAACTTTTGAAAACTATACAAAAATTCTCTGACTACTTATTCTACTGTGAACTGAGAGGTTCATAGCTCTTTGATGCCCTTCTCTCCCAATTGTCCTCATGCCTCACCAGAGATTGAACGCCATAGCTGAGCACATGATAGAACATGATTCTAATCACATAGCCTGCTCACTAGGGGTGTCAAGTAACCCCTGAGAGTGGTTTAAAAGTGTGGTCCTTTGACCTGCAGCATCATTATCGCCTAGAGAACTGTTAGAAACTCGAGCTCTTGTGTCAAATCAGATGGGATGAGTACTCTCTTGTTGCGCTCCTGTCCTCGTAAATCAGAGTCTCTGGAGGTAAGGCCCAAAGGCTCTTCTCTAACAAGTCCTCCAGGTGGCTCTGCTGCCCCTCAAGGTTGAGAATCACTGCTTCTGAAGGGCATACTTCGGATGTAACATATAATGCACAGTTTAGTTGTATGGAATAATACCCCTCCTCTCAACTTTACTTTCATTTTCGTGATCTTTGATGAAGTTCTTTCTTCTGCTTGAAAAGTCTGTCTCTTACATCTTCTAGACCAGCTTTGTCAGCATCTCCCTGGGAGGCTCTCTCCGGTCAGGCAGAGGGCGTCATGCCATCTTCTATTGGAGCACTTAACTCACTGTTTCTTCCGCTAACTTATCTCTGGTCTCCCTCCCTAAACACGGATTTTTATCTTCCCACACTTAACAGAAATTTAAAGGCCAATACACATTACTTTGTAACCACAATCTTACAAATATTAAAAATTATTTTCAAGGTTAGGCATGGTTGTGTACACCTTTAATCCTAGTGCTTGAGGGGCAGGGGCAGAGGGCCTCTATGAGTTCAGGGCCAGCCAGGTTTACATATCAAGTTCCGGGCCAGTTCAGGCTACATAATAAGACCCTGTCTCAAAATACCACCCCCAAATATTTAGAAACAAAATTATGTCTATTACCTTTCAACACAGTAAAGAAATAGTTTGAAAATTTTTTAGATCTTTATTCTACCAAAAAGGAGCTAACAATAGATGATGTAAATGAATGTATTTCAAGCCACAATTCTTTTTTCCCACTCTAAATGTCTTAATTAATGGCCTGGCATGCCTTAATTAATACCATGTTTCCTTTCTTATGGTTCCAAAGCTAATATTGTGTCTTATAACAAGATGTAACTGTCTAGATGAAGCATAAAATGTGAGAAGGAAAGGAAATAACCTGGAAGAAGGATGGGGGTGTCTCTGTGGGGAGAGAGGAGGTCATCTGGACTCAGGGAGGAGAGGATGCAGGCCTGGGACTGTGGAGATCGTGGAAAGAGCTTTCTGGGTAAAAGGAGCAGCGAAGACAAAGACAATACCGTCTGTCTTGTTGATCAGTTTAGGACAACTTCCAAGGCAGTCTCTGATAAATACTTCGAAGTGTCTGTAATGGGACCTCACCCATTGGTAACGCACCAGGTACCTTTTGGAGAATGATGATTACAAGATGTTTTGACTTCCACATTCATATGGCATTAGTGGCTTATGGAAACAGCAAAGATTGTGATGAGAAGTTTCAAGTCTTGAAACATTGTTTTGTATCTTTTATAAATTATTCTTGACCTCTTGATAGGAGTTAGGACCTCAGAGATGTACTAAATGTTGTCATTGTCCTCAAAGGCATCTTAGCTAGCAAGGAAAATAGAAAAATAATCACAGGACATTGTTACAGCAGTAGTCACAGGAGGGTGGCATGTATTAGCCACATAAAAAGGAACATGTTCTGTGTTCACCGAGGTTCCTATGCAGGTCAAGTTTCATTGCCTCAGAGGACAGTAAAGAGTGCTCATTCCTTTAGCAACTGGGTTCAACCACTTGACTGTGAGAAGCAATTGTATCATGTTGTTGTCAGACCTAGAATTTAAATCAAATCTCTGATTGCCAAGGTACTTTAGATTGCAGGTAGTACACAGGACATTTTTAAGAACAGCATCCCCCAAATGGGCTGCTAACCCAAAGGCCACATGTTTTACTACCCTTGTTATTTTTAAAGTAATAATAGAATCTGGGAATGTAGCTCACGGGTGAATTGCCTGTCCAGCATCCTACCCGGTGTCCTCTTTCTCATTCCCTCTCTCTCTCTTAGTTCTGAGTTGTCACCTTCTAGCAGCCCCAGAACTTACATCTTCTTAGTCAAGTCCAAATAAGAACAAGAGCACCTTTACACAAAACACTGGAAATATCTCCTCCTACTTCCTGTCAGGTATCGGTCCCTAAATCAGGAATCAATGGCAGATTTAAGATTGCCAGAATTCCATGAAATGAGAGTTAGAGATAGTGTTTCCTCCAAAGGAATGGGTTATGATTAAAGGAGACTGTAGAAGATGCCCATGTTGGAACAGGAACAAAACAAGAGATGCCTATGAAATATTCTCTCGATGTGTGACTCCAGCTGATGATCATATCTGGAATGTATGACTCCTGCCTATGTAACCTTGCATATTTTGTTCCTTCCAATTTTCTCATACCCCATGGCTCCCAGAGAAACATGAAGAAACAACATATACTCAGGGATCCCCCAATTTAAATGAAGTCCTAGCCTCAAACATGATAGCATTTAGATGAAGTCTTAAAGAGACGGTTACATTGAGATACTGCCACAAGGATGGGGTGCTCTTGCCAGAACTAGTGCTCTCATTCTTACAGAAAGAGGCACCAGAGCTTGCCGTCTGTCATGTAAAGATACATCCAGAAAGCAAGCTGTGGCTTTTTCAACATGCTATGAAGAGAGCCCTCTGCAGGGCCCAAGCCTGCTGGCACCCGATCTTGGCAAACCTATTTAGAGCCTAAAATTTATACATTCTAGCTTATGTGCATTTTTGAGCAGTTTCCAATTGAATAGTAAAATTCAATTTTGCTTTTCTTTCCAGTTGAAGGAATTTTTGAGATCTGCTCTAATACAGAAGCCACCAGATACTTGTAGTTTTTCAGCATTTTGTGGCTATATCATATAAGAAAAGCCAGATTTCAAAGACATAACATAAAAAACAAAACAAAATATTTCATGATATTTTTGTTCATTAGATATTAAAATATTAATATTTAAATATTTTGTGCTAAATGAAGTATATTATTAAAGTTAATTTTATATTTTTATTGTATTAAAATGGCTGCTAGAATATTTAAAATTACATATGTGATTTACACTACATTTTTACTGGACAGTATTGCTGTAAATTAAATTTTTTTTAATTGACTTTTAATTTTTGTGTGTAGTATATGAGTGTGTTGACGTAGGTCTGTGCACATGTACACGCACATGTGGATGCACATGGAAGTCATAGGTCAATATCAGTTGTGTTCCTTAATTACTCTCCACCTTATTTTGTGAGACAGGATCTCTTTAAAACTGGGGCTCATTGACTGAGTTGGTCTAGCTTGTCAATGAGCTCTAGATATATGCGTCTCTTCCCTATCCCTGCTAGCACTGGGGCTATGGTTGCTCCACCCTCTGATTTACTTACCACTGTGTTTTTCAAGGTTTGGTCCCCTCTAACCAGAAACAGTGGCATAATCTGAGTGCTTCTTAGATATACAGTG